CGGTTGTGGTTATTCAAACTACTTTTCTCTAGAAATCACACTGGACATCTTGTAAAGACCTTCTGCATTGTCATTCTTTGTTCCAGCTGTGAGGAACAGTCTCTTTCATGGTTGTTTTGCAAATCTGCTTGTAAACTTCAGAAACTGAGAGTCATCCAGTGATCTAAATGACTGATTTAGTTTTATGTTTAAAAAAAGGTAAAAGTGAGCTCCAGATCTAAATTGTAGTTATGTATTCCTGGAGCTGTGTTACTCTGACCTTACACTGATGCAAAAATTTGTGATGAGTTAAGACAATTATTAAGATCACTTATCTTACACTATTCCTTAAGTCTGCAGGACAGATTATAGCTCCTAGTCCATCTCGTGTAGTTGGTACGTCATCAGTGAAATGGCATTTAATAGGACTCTGGCATTTCAATGAACTTCTTCAATCCCTTCCCCACATAGAACGTACAGAATTCAGGGAGGCTCATTTTGACTGAGAATGTCAAAGGACCTCCTGAATATACCTCACTGACTGGATGTAAAGACTTAGTGTCTCTCTTTGCCTGTGGCAGGTTACCTCAGAGCTTTATTAACAGAGAGGGGTTCTTTTTTTCTGCATGTAATTTTCCTTGTTTTGCTAAAAGTAGCATGAATAAATAAATAACCTGAACAGCGCTATAATGAAGGATCAGTGGGTTAATTGGAAAGATGAGTGGAAAGTGATTGTCCCCTCTCCTGCTGAGCACCTGCTGCCAAGTTAATTCATGCAGCAGTGCTGGAGGTTGTGCCTGGAGGAGATCCCTGCTGTTTTGTCAGCTATGGGTAAGGGCAATGTCCACAGAGAGGAGAAAGCGAATCAGATAAATTGAGTTTATTGCTAATCAGCTGCTAGGATTTATTTTCAAGTTCTAGGAACCAACTAAAACATCGATTACAGAGTCATTGTTCTTCACTCAAGAGTCACATCTCCAGCAACACCAAGGTATATTTATTTTAGGACATAGCAAAGAAGGGGAAGGAATTTGTTGCTAAACAAAATTCCCAAGGCAATATTGAGTACTTGCCATCCATTGGCAAAACAATTCGGTCATTTCATTTTGCTTTTCCTATTGACTACTTCTGATTGCCAGTTTCTTTCCAGGCACAACAAATTCAACTTTAGTCTAACACAGCAGTTTTTAACAAACAAACAAAAAAAACCAAACCAAAAAAACCCCAAACCTCTGTAAAAAAAGAAAGGTTATTCTCTTCTCTCCTTGTCTTGCATCTTTTCTTACATAGTACTAACTATTCAGCCATTACAACTTCTTTTACACTTAAATAGTTCATTTAAATGTCCCAAATATCTTGTGTATCTTCTACTTTATCTCATTTCTTTTGAACTTGAATTGATAACCATTACTGGTACCAGATAGTTTCTTACACTCAGCATAGCTTCACTGATCAGCAGAAATGGGCACTTTATTTTCTTCATCCCTCCTCCTTCCTCTTGTTTTTTCTGCCCTCTTCTATTTGTCTCTTTATAGTACTCTTCCTTTTTTACTTTGTTTTACTCTCTGATTCTGGCTTATTAGAATTTCCTGAACCAGGCAGAGCAGCAGTGAGTGTGTCAGAAAGATGGAAGGGATCTGAAGCTGTCACCAACAAGAGCAGCTTATTTTTTTCATTTCTTCCTAAAGCAGGTCCCTTACCTCTTTTGCATATCTGTAAAGGGCAGGGATGCTAGGGCTCAGCATATCAATCCTTTCCTCCAGCTTGGACAGAGAAGGACTGTACCAGGCTTATAGGAAGAAACAGGCTGTATCAGTACAGATTTCTACAGCATAAGAAGTCACTGTGTAATGTAACTGTAAAAGTCTCTGGAGTTCTGAACAAATGACCACAGATGTGACACTTCTGAGTGGGACGTGTCTCAAAGACAGAAAGAGCTGGAAATTGAGCCCCACACCATTTTTTCTCCTTTGAAAGGTTAAAGCAAAAGGGTTAAGCATGCAACTTATGCTAAGATATTTTTAATTTTGCAGGAGAAAGTCAAATGAAGAGATAAATTTATTTTTCAGTATTTGAAAATGGGGGGCTGCAGAGGCAGAAAAAAATGCTATCAGATAAAAAAATGTACCTACATGCACCTACAATAGGTGTGGTAGTCACTCTTACTTTGGTAAAGCTATATACACCAATATTCAGGAAAACTTAGCTACAGTATTATTTTACTAACATAACATTTCCCTTTGTTGCTTGCAGTTCAGCTAGAGAGCAAGTATGACACTGGAAGTGGTTTAACTTGCACACGTGTGTGTTTAAATCCCTGACACATTCAACCAAGAATGCAGTTTTTGCTTAATCCTAAATGTGTGCTAATTGTTGACTTAAAACATACTTGACTTTTCCACTGCATCATAGTGGCATATATAACACTGGGTATCATCAAGGAGTTTGGTCCTATTTGAGTTGTCAGAATTCTTAGGAGCTTACACCTGAAATTTATCTTCAGTAAACATATATGCTTCCTTTAATTTTAAAAAGGGCACAAGGAAGGACTAGACTATTTATTTAGCTCCAGGGTGCCATCAGTTTTGATGTGACTGTTTCCAACTTGAATAGATAAAAACTCAGGATTCCTGGAAAGAAAAATCGTTAGGAATCCTTTTTGTTCTGCAAAGGTATTATGAAATGACCATATTTATACTGCTTTATAAAGTAGTTAATTTTTAGGTTGATCTTCATGTGTTGCATACTCTAAATGCTATGAAAAGTGCTGAAATGATTACATAATCTGCTGCAATATAAATTACAGTAAGAACCTCTCTAGGCTGCATGAGTGTGATTGGTAGGTGATTCTACCATGGAAGGAATACAGTAAGACTGCAAAATCAAAGACCCTGAACTTCAGAAGGAGCCTACTTGAAGTTCAGTTTCTTAGTCACTGAATGGGAAAACAAGCCTTCTTTGTTCTCTTGTATGAGACAATTAACCCATGTGCTTAAATATAAAATAAGCTTTCTTCATCTTTTGTTTTATTGCAGTAATGTATCTACTGATTGATAGCTTGATATAGGTTCAGGACATGATAAAGTTTAGTAATGTTTCATTCTGTAGTCATTGTATTCTGTAACTACCTTTATTCCTTATTAACATGCCTCCTTACTAAGAAGGACTTCAAGAATAAAATACAGCATTTTAAATTTTTTTTTTGGATGTGAAAAATATCTTTACAGTATTTGCTTCGTGAATGTTTTCCCCTTCTTCCTTATCTGCATCTTTCTCTGGTTTTTGTACTTCAGACTGCCAGCTATTTTGAGCATACATGTATCTTTTATGTTGGGGCAGTGATACATGCTGCACAAATACCATGAGCTGTCAGAAATGTTCCTGGTGATCACAGTTAGTGCAAATTAAACATTTCTAAACTATTTCATGTTTTCAAGTGAGTACCTGACCAGTACCAAGATCAAAGTAGATACAAAGCTTTCTTACAGTCACTATATGTCTATGCATACACATGTTGTCATGCACTCCAGGTACCTTTTTGGTTTAAACTCAAGAATCAGGTCTTTGTTGTATCTGTCATATGAACACTGCCTGTCTTCCAAGTCTTCTCTTCCTTATGTCTGTCGCACAACTCTCAGTAATTGCTTTCCTTCCATGAAATGGCATTTAGTGATTGCATGTGCCCATTTTATAGCATAAAATATCAGGAGGCTTACTTTTGTTCATGATACTTCAGGAAGATTAACTTTGGTAGCACAGGGGAAGAGAGGTTAATGAAAGGAGTCACAATCTCCTTCTCCCAAATATGATGTGCAGCTTTATTTTTAAATTGTCATTGGATTCCTCAGTAACATACACCCATATTCCTATTCTGTGTGCGTCGGAATCTTTTTATTAATTTGTGGTGTTATTTTTGATGAAAGAACACAAAACACAAACTAGTACAAGTCAACATGCACTCTGTTAGTATATAACTCATAATACTGATTTTTTTTTTTTTATTCCACAGAATAAAGCAGTTAAAAGATAAAGTGAATATTTAAGTATGTAAATAAATCAAAGTGTTTTGCATATTTGATGTGCTCACTAATCATGGTTTATACCTGAGCATTCTAGTACATACAAGATCATTGATATTTGATACTAGTATGTTGTTAAATGGCTAGAATCTATAATTCTTACAACTATACACAATAGAATCTATATGATTACCTTAAGTAAAATCAACTTGTAATCATTTTTATGGTGAAATGAGAACTGAGTGACTATGAGAGGTTTAACTGTTTAATTTTATGTCTGGTAGGATGCCATGTAGTCAGATGCCTCTGTATGTTTCTAAAATTAAGTATCTGCGTATATGTGCAGAGGTAAGAATGTCCTTGACTCATTTCCTCTGGCTGCCTTCGTAGGAGACACATTCTGTTTTGGTTTGTTCTATTTTCATCATTGAGGCCCAATAAATGTTTAGATCGCCAAAAATTAGGCCTACAACTTTTAATACATTCAGCTTTTCCTTTGTTTGTCTTTATATTGCTCATTAATAAAAAAGAATAATCTTTTATAGCAGGGCAAAATATTGTGCAATTTGTGCTTATAATGGATGCTTATAATTTTGTTTTAATTGATGAATGTGCTTTATTAAGTTTGGGTTACTTTAACATTTCATTTCTCTCTTTGTTGTTGGATTGACTGGTTGAATTTTTATGACTGTGTGACTTGAAAAACAGCGATGAATCATGATGGGAAGACATCTATAGGGATGTATGCAGAGAAGAAAGTGAGGGCTTGCCATTGTGATCATACCACATGACACAAGAAAATGTGTATGTTGCACTCATTCATTTGGGGCATGGGCAGCCAGACAGAAAGGGGAAGGATTTGTGTGTCACATGCGGCTGGTATAATGAGTACAATAAAGTGCATATGTCTTTGTATAGAGGTTTTCTGAACACATTAAGAAAAAGCTGTGATTTTAGCAGTTATTCTATGTGGTGAAACAATGCAAATTTTCCCTTTTTTAGATAATACTCTCAGCATATTGGCAAAGCACAGTGGATTCAGCCGGCAGAAGCAAGAAGTGTATCTACTGCCAATCATCATAAGCGATAGTGGGAATCCTCCCATGAGCAGCACTAGCACTCTCACTATTCGAGTCTGTGGTTGCAGCAGTGATGGTATTGTCCAGTCCTGTAATGTTGAAGCATATGTACTTCCCATTGGACTCAGTATGGGAGCCCTAATTGCAATATTAGCATGCATCATTTTGCTACTAGGTATGTATTCATTTCACAGCCTGGTGTTGAAAATTTTCCTGATTCCTGGGTGGCTGTAAGTAAGCAAAGAAGTCACATAGAAGGACATACAATCTAATGCAATGTGATGTGCAGCAGTACTGAGAGACCTGTCAGGACTGCATCCCTACTGTACTAAGAACTGAACAAAAGCATATAAAGCAATGTCCCAGTCTGAAGTAGTCTTACACACAAGTTACATAATAAACAGGTATGGAATATGAAACTGAAAATCAAATCATGTATGTTATGTAGCAAGATGGACACAGTATATACTGCACATGATGGAAGATGGATTTGTTGTATCTTCTAAGACGTATGAGTTTATCCTGGATTGTAATGGCATAAGAGACATTACAGTTTTACAAGATAAGAAGCACTGTATATTTTAGTAAAACATACAAAATTTGTATACGACATCAAGCAAGTAAGGGAGATAACAATGAAGGAAGAAGCCTATTTCTGCTCTTTGCAGCTTCAATTTGTAACTGGGATTTACATCAGTAACTGAGATTTCAGCACTAAGCTGCAAAAACAACAGTGTAACCAATTTAGAGCTTTTTATGCATCTGTCCGTGATCCTGAAACTGATGTATCTAAGTTCTTTCTTTCTCCCTTACTGTCTCATTCTCTTTTCAGTTATATAGTGTGAGTCTGTTGCAACACATAAAAAAAAGACACCAATTTCCTTCTATCATCAGGGCTACGTTTTCAGAAAAACACCCTCTAATTTTGGAAAAATCCATCCATAATGTAGATCATTTATAGACTATGTTCAGTGAATGATGATAGCTTGACTTCATCTAGGTTTGTAACTTTTCCAAAGGGAAAAGTTGTCTAAATTCAAGGATCAAAATTGGAAGTATGCGAAATCTTACTGCTTATATAAAATTGAGCTTCAGATGTAAATATGAGCTGATAATAGAAAACCAGAGGACTAACCAGACCTTCTGATCAAATTTCATCACTTGAATGGGGTTGAAGTTATAGGTCTTTCAGCTTTTCACTACCCTTACTACGCTTATTTTCACAAAAAGCAACCTATCACCTTCCACAACTGCGCTTAACATATGTAGTGCTTTGATTGGAGATTTTTTACCTAATCAGCCTGTGATGCTTTCTTTCCAGTCATTGTGGTGCTGTTTGTAACACTAAGAAGACATAAGAATGAGCCTCTAATCATCAAAGATGATGAAGATGTGAGGGAAAATATTATTCGCTATGATGATGAAGGAGGTGGAGAAGAAGATACAGAAGCTTTTGACATTGCAACTTTGCAAAATCCAGATGGAATTAACGGATTTTTGCCTCGTAAGGATATTAAGCCTGATCTTCAATTTATGCCCAGACAGGGTCTTGCACCTGTTCCTAATGGTGTTGATGTTGATGAATTTATTAATGTAAGGCTTCATGAAGCCGATAATGATCCTACGGCTCCACCATATGACTCTATCCAGATTTATGGCTATGAAGGAAGAGGGTCAGCAGCTGGTTCCCTTAGCTCATTGGAGTCCTCTACATCAGACTCAGATCAGAATTTTGACTACCTCAGTGAATGGGGTCCTCGCTTTAAAAGACTTGGAGAACTTTACTCAGTTGGAGAAAGTGACAAAGAAACTTGACAGTGGATTACAAACTTTTTCACTGTTGACTTAATAATCATGTAATATTCTAGGGCCACTGCTGTTAGTTAAAACTAATGTGGCTTTTTGTTTTAGAGGCAAGTTTAGCGCCAGTCATCTATAAAATCTACAACTACATTGTAATGTTGAACCAAAAAAAAAAAGTATATGTTAGGAGGTTAAGTCTTGTGGAGTGTGAAGTAAAGTATGTGGAGTGTCTAGAAGTCTTTGGATATTTGATATTCACTTGACCACTCTGAAGATGGAGATTTGGATCTTTTATTATCTTCAGTGAATTGAAAAGAACAAAAAGAAATTGGTGCTTTCTTAGAAAATGGACTTGCAGGGATTTTGCTGTTGAACAGTAGCTCCTGCCAGTATGTGTAAAGCTAATGGTTTGTTTCTGCATTGCCAACAAAGATCCCGCCACAGAAATGTTAAAAGCAATATCTTGGTCTTCTTAGCAATGCTGAACAGAAATAGCATTGTAAATTCCTACTGGCTTCTACTGTGCAGTGACCATACATTGTACATACAGTAATTGTTGGCCATGTAACCACAGACTGAGTATCATCTTTAAATATTGTGTCAAGCCTTAAAATATTCACATGTTCTTAATCCATTCCAGTGATGGGTAATAAATCCTACTAACGTGCAGAGATTCAGAGGCAGGGCTACAAAACCTTGCTTTACAAAAGGATCTTTTTCTAGAAGAAGGATCAACCCTGTGCTTCGTCTTCTGAAAGGAAAGAAAAAACTGTGAAAGGGGATGGACTTACATATATGAAAGAATTGCTGATTTTATTGCTAAAGATCGAATTTATTTGTTTAATCTTTGAAATAAATATTTTATTGATGTCCACTACTGCTTCTATTTATTAAGACTGATAATCTATAGAGTAAGATTATGAAGAAAACTAAATTATATCAGTTAGTTTTTTTTTCTATATATAATGAATGTTTAATACATGTACATTTTGAAAAGAAAAATGACAAATTGTTGCAGGTCAAAGCAGTAACCTATCCATTTGCAGTAGCTGAATTTTAAGAGAATGCTGGCAGGAATAAACTTTCCCAGAGAAAACTTTTGACAGTTTTATATCTTCTTCATAAATCTAGTACCTGGTGTTTTTAATACAAGCACAAACAGCTGGAAGTAAACTGGTTCATGTGAATATTTAAACTATAGACTTTTAGAAATCCACACATAGTACAGTAAAAAACATGCTTATAGTTCTCCACTGTATTAGAGCAGGAACCAGTGTGTACATAATTTTACTGCTTATGTTATTAGCATTTCTTTTCTATAATATTCATAGTGATGCACCAGGGCTCTTGCACACAGAGAAAGAACAACACTAGAAGCTGCAAGCATACTCAATTTGTAATGCAAACTTGCCATTTAGAAGTAGCAATTGTATAATAAAACTACGTATTACATGCAAATCATTTTAATTTTCTACTTTGTTTTGAAGCTATATTATTGTTTGTTTATTTACTCCATGTATTGTATTCAGAGAAACTCCTGTATTGTTTCCTACTTTGTGAAATATATTTTTATAAATACGTTTCTTGTTATTGCTTTTCTTTCAGTTTTACCTGTACACTGCAGAAAGGAATCTGCCTGAATAACTTCATAGTTTGTTGAGGAATGTAGTTCCTTCAAAATCATTTATTTATTAGTTGAATACAGTCAAAATAAAAAAGGATAATATTTGAAGAAATTTTTGACAGTGTTTGCAGAATTAGATATGCAGCAGCCTGTGGCCACAGGAGTTATGTGTGTCTAATTCACTGCGCCATGCTGAAAAACAACCTCACACTTTTTTTTAAAGTATTGCTAGTAAAAACATTCTCCTCCCTTTAAGCTCCTCAGTAATGTTTGTTCTGCAAACAAAAATGTCTTAATGCATCACCCCCAATTTTGCCTGTATTTCAAAACGGAAACATTTACTTTGCTTTAGCTACAGCATGGCTGGCTTTAATGACTGTAGTTTGTGGACAACTAATACGCTAACACCACTTCTATATGTATTATACAGATTTTATTGAAATTAATGAAGTATCCAATTCATTTAAACTACACTGCATTTTAAAAAAATGCCTCTGAATAACTTTATCTAGCAATTTTGGTAATACTATAAACTAAACAGTGAAGTCATCTAAAGAGAGAAAAGAAGTGGTCGTATTTATGTAACAGACTGTAATAACAGCCAAACACATTCTTACTAATCACTTGCACCAAGTGCCAGGGTGTTCTGAATTGCCATGCCAAATCTAATAGTAATGTAAATGCAAAAGTCTGATTCGAAACTTAGACTGAGCCAATTTCTAGTCTACATCCCACTCCTGGGAGCAAAGGAAGGTGCTGTGAGATATGGATCACATCATTGTCTATAGTCACATAAGCGTTTAGGGCAAGTAGCTCCGACTATGAGTTAGTATATACTGTAGAGTTTTGCAAAGCTCTTTTGTAGGAAAACTCACAAATGGATAACCTTCTGATTGCCTTTTTGATTGAAAGTTCCATCTGAGACCACGACAGCACATTCAGTAATAAGATTTCCAGGAAAAAAAATCCCATCATTGGCACTGTAGGAGAGGCAAAGCATGACAGAAATCTCATCATTGTCAGTTAAAAAGAGATGGTAGCTACTACTGGTGGGCATAGCTGTAAATTGTGCATTTACACAGGTTTTAAACATGAATATCTACAATGCGAAGGGGAGAAAAAAATTAATGAATTTGTGATCTGTCAATAGCGATGAGCTATTTCTTGAAGTCATTGCTACCCCACCAAAGGGAAATGATTCATTCTGCAAAGTAATTCCATGTAATTTGAGTATAAAATTTATACCAATACATGTTAGAGGGTTAAATGTTGATCATTCAGTTTTCCAGTACTTGCTCCTTTTTTGACAACGAAATTAATTCAGTATAAAATTGTTTTGGATAACAACGGTATTTAGGGGGATTAGAATCATATCGTTCTACATTTCACATCTAGATTTAGACATATTAGCGACATCCTTTTTAAGCATGTAAAATGGTAGTTCATCTTTTTCAACAACATTTAATTAGCAATTGACTCATTGTAAGTGACAAGGAAAATGCATTAAATTAGAATTATTAATACTGATAAATTTGAGAATTAAATTCTCAAGATCTTTTACAAGTGCCAAGCGCCTTAGAGTCCCATTGATTCTGGCTTGCCTTCACCTACCTATGTCTTATACTCATTTGTCAGAACCGCTAAAGTAAATCATCCCACACATAAAAGCTGGAATTCTAAGTTTTTGGCCTGGACATTGTCCAGACAGAAAATTCAGCTCAGGCATTTCAATATGCAAGTACTGTGAAGTGAATGTGTGTACATGTTTACTAATTATAACTCAAATGACTAAAGGTCTTCAACACGTTCTGTCCTTTACAGTAATTGAAAGCATATGCTATTTGTATGCTGTGACCTTGAAATCAAATCATGGAAAGCTCATTTAGACTCAATACGTTTTTCACCCGGTATCATTTATACCTTTTTGTCGATGATGAATTTGAAATGACTCTGAAATATACAGGAGAGAAAATGGTTGAAGATTTTCATTTAAATCAGCAGTTGCTAATCACACTATGGCAACTCCAAATACCATCAACTATGTCGCAGCGCAGCAGTAACAATTCTCAATCTGGAGAACAGACAGAATGTCTGCAAAATAGTATGTTTGAAATAACTTTATTTGTACAGCTCTGCTAGAGATGGGTCTGCTGATTTTAATATATAGAGAAAAATAAATCAACTATACTGTATCCATGCAGTTGCATGTACCTACATATGTGTGTGGCAAATTTTTTTAACAGCCTACATGGTCATTGAATTCTAGAAATGGATAAACGGGCTTAGAAAGCTTCTCCAAGGTCTGTCCAACTGCAGGAAACCTTGGCAGGTAGTCTGGTTTTGTATCTGAATTTCTTGGGATGTAATTTCAGTCTTAATTGATCTATTTTACTGTTTCTCTCCTTTTCCCTGCCCCTCTCTCCACCAGTTCACCTATCCTGAGCTATACGTCTGTGAACATAATGTTAGGAAGTAAGTTCATTAAGACCACGTAGCTCTTTTTCAGCTAGTTTCAGCTGGTGTGCTCAGTGATTGGAAACAAGCAGCTAGGCCAGGATAGTTACGTTCACCAAGCTCTCCTCCTTCTCTCTTATTATCCTATTTGGGTTTAAAAACAAAACAAAACAAAAAACCAACAAGCACCTGTATGCAAGTGGCTTACTTTTCAGATGTAGTCACAGGACTGTATTGTTACTTGAACGAGTTGAAGTGGTGCATAAAAAAAGAGAAAAAGCATGACTAGAAGCAATACAAACACCTATCACAGGAAGACTTACAGTGAACAATCTGGGCTACTTATACCAAAGGACTGTTTCTGTATTTTAAATTTTGCTGAAAAATCTAAAGCAAATAATGGTGCTTTTTAGTTAATAGGAAGAATGTTCAGTAGCAACACACATTCACAAGTATTTCTGATCAAGAAAAGTGAAAAGAGGTTACTCAAAAAATTATTTTTCAGATTTGGAAAGTTTTCAGCTGTGGCAGGATGTCCTAGTAAATTAAAGCTCAGTAAAAGGAAAAAAAAAAGTGGAAGTATTCACCATTACTAGAGCTTCCTTTCAGAATGTAGCAGGTGTCATTAGCAGCAGATAGAGTAAGCAGTGGAAGCTTTCTGTAGTCTATCGTTCAGATATGTTGGACTTGTATTATTTCTACATTTGTACACTATTTGTGCAAGATAATATTCTGGCTTTGCAGAAGGTGGAAACCAATTTAACTTGCTGTATAATTCACTGTGATGGGTTTTGTAATCACACTGCAAAATGAGTCTAGCTGCTGTATTATACAATACTGATACTGGCTTATGTGCTGCAGAACTAGTCCCTCTCCAAATAATGTTATAGTATTCTAAATGAGAAAATACAAAAGCCCTGACAATGCTTTTTGTGCAACTGCAACTAAGACATCTTCCAAAATGGCTAATAAAAACAAGCTGAAGCACAGAGTTTCTGGCAGAGCCTTGTAAATGGGTTCATTAGCATTGCAACACAACTATTTCTTCTTTTTTCTCCTCCTACCCCCCCACATTACAAAAATTAAACCAGTGAAATGAACAAAATTAAAATTTCAGCCTTCTCTTCAGAGGGGATATGTAATAATTTACAAAATTCCCTTTCTTCTCCTTCCACTATTTCAGATGCTTGCTTGAATGAAGTCTATATGATGATGACAGGCAGATAGAAGGGATGAGTAGAGGTTACCTGTTGCATTACATGAATGGAGAAAGCATTTATGGTATGAGGGCAGCAGTACCCTCTCCTCAAAGTCTTGTCAAAATAAAAATCTTGCAGATGTTCCTCTAGGGAGTTCTCATCACTCCACATATATCCAGGGAAAGATCCTCCTCAATGTATACAAAATAAAACTCTTCTTTTTCCGTGTACTCCCAACGAACTACTTAAAGTCTGATACTGGCATCTCAAATTCCTATTCATCAAATGAACACGGGCCAGCTATTCTGTGGTAGATACCTATATACAAACTCACTCCATGGTGCTTATGAACACATAGATTTGTTTCTTTACTGATGTGGAAAGGTTCTGATTTGTGAAGTTTGGAATAAACAGCCAGTAAGACAGAAGGCAGGTAGCATAGATAACTGATGGTAAAAGGAGGGATGATTCTGGAATGGGTCCTCATTTTGTATCTTACTTGGGTCTTTGTGTTGTCTAAGTCTAGCCTTGATTTTTTACCTTCAAAATATTTTTTTAACAGCAAAAAAGTCAACTTCCTGCTCTTCATAACAGCTTGGGTTTTGAATTATAAAACAGGTCTTACGTTGGGGGGGGGGGGGTGGGGGGGGGCGTTTTTTTTTTCTGTGGGGGGGGGGTGGCTGAGGTGGTGTGTCTTTTTGTCATTTCCTTCTTTGTTAATGGAACTTTCACTGATGGCAACATTGACACAGTTCATTCTGCCACATTTCACAAGCTGGCAGTTCTAATAATTAATATAAAAATAAAAGATGTGCGGCTTTTTAACTGAAATATAATTTATATAATTGGAAGCAATGCAAAACCAGTTGAATCACTCTTAAAATAAACTCTAACAGTCCCACATTTCCAGCCACAGATGTGATCACTTTTGGACTCATTTTCAAATACACTTCTATACCTGAATTCATATGCAGTTGATATGAGTTTTACATGCAAGGGAATAACTCAGTCTCATTAGACATTGTTGAGGAATAAGTTTCCTATATTTTATGAAAAAAGTATGTCACGACTTAAACCTATGGACAAGGAAAGAATAGGTTTTTATACTTTTATACTCAAAAATACATGCACAAGTAGAAACCAGAGCTGAATTCAAAGTCCTGGTCCACTGTCTCAGCTGTGCAATACAGGTGAGTGGACAGCTGATTAGAGGTAAATAACAGATTATTTTGGCAATACATATGAACTCCCTCCTTAACACAACCAAGGGGTCTTGTTGCTACTATCAAGCACATGGTTAT